CCGGCAAGCAGAAGGGGACAGGGGGGAAGGGGAGGAGGGAGAGGGCGCACCTTCGCGGCCAGACATGGTGAACGATTGTAACTGAGAGCAGGGGTGTCTGAGGGACGAGGCAAACAGGCATCACAAGGCAGTCAAGTTGGGACCCCGGCCTGGGGAGGCCCCGAGCCAGGACGCCCGCCGAAAAAGGGGCGGCCGGCGTGCATCCGTCCCCGCAGGAGGGGAGAGCATGCGCGTATGAACCGGCCAGTTCATGCACACGCCACGCACCAGCGCGCGCACATCCGGGCTTGCGTGCTCCCGGATCGACCTCCGGGGAAAGTACGCCAGCCAGGCCGTGTGGGGCCATGCAGCGGCCACCCCAGCGCGTCGGATGTGCCACCTCCCCCCCCCGGGACCAAGAGCCAGCCCACGCCGGCCCCTTGCATCACCTCGCGGTCCGGGAGCGGGGGGGGGGGGAAACAGTGATCGAGACTTGCCCGGGCCGGTCGGGGATCTCTCCCCGGCTCCGTTGCCGCTGCTCCATGCGGCCGGCGGTGAGCCGGAGTGGCCCGAGAGAGCGGTCCAGGCCGCGGGGCTGGCAAAGGCGAGATAGCCCCGCCTCACCCGCCCCGCACCTGCCGGCCCCCGGGCCAGGTAAGGCCTCTCTGCTGTCTTGGCGGCTTCACCCCCCTCCAGCGGGCCGGTCGTGCCCTGGCACTCGCCTGCCGTCCATGCGCCCGCCCGCACCGCACGTCGGCGTGCGTGGACCGCGCAAGGCACCGCACGCACCACAATACCCCCGCGTATGCACCCAGGCGCGCCGGGCATGCGCGCCTCTTTTCTTCCCTCTGCCCCTCCCCGGACGCCCTTGAGAGATACCACAGAGAGACCTCTAGCCGGTTGGTGGCCTGTGGGGCTGGGGGGAGCGCGCGGGTTTCGCACCCGGAGAGCCACATGAGCAGATAACAGACTACCCCCAGAATGGTGTTCTCGGGTCATATTGTAGCACGTGCCACATATCCAGGGGAATCACGTCCCGATTCCCGGTCCGATCGTCCGGGCGTTTGATCTGCGGCCATCCCCCGGGGCGGGGGGGGGCGGCCGACGAGGCGAATGCCCCCCCACCAGGCACACTTGGACTTCTGCCTTTCTCCT